TGAAGGTGCAGATTTACAAGTTAAAAACATTCATGATAAAACTGCAATCTTTTTGGCTGCTGAGGAAAACAGAGTTGACACCTTAAAGGTATGTTCTATACATTTTATTGCAGGTTTGCATGCACAGCCTATGTTAACTTTAATTATTATAATATATTATACATGCATTTTGCTGTTAGAGTCAGAGAATCATGCCACACCAGGATTATTTGGGGACTGGGTTGTTTATTATGATATTATTATGACAAAACAGAGATCAAGAAATGCAGGTGAACTGTAAAACCATATTTAACTACTGCCTTACATGTACAATTATGATTAATGCATCATGTAACAGTTCAGTTGCATCATGCCTGATTTTCATTCAGGTAACTCTCTGTCATAACAAAAGAACAGTTATTTTGAAATGTTTCTGATATTCATGTTTTTTCATTAGTTTTGCTGCAGCACTAATATTCTATAGTCTAAAGCTTTGAACCTGTCATCTGCCACAAGTTGATAAACAGTTTACACCAACCCTCTGAATTGTGCCATTGATTTTTACTCTTTTTAACCTAAAGGTGTATAAAATAACTGTGAATAATTTCACAACTTTTTGTCAGGTGATCCTGGAGAATGAAAACGCCAAAGCTTTGATCAATGAGAGTGATAGGTATGAAAACACTCCACTCCATGTTGCTGCTATGAATGGCTATGCTTCTGTTGTTCAGGTGAGGCTAAGTTCAGTGAGTAGCCAAACATTAACTGACATTTACTTACATTTTGGATTGAGTAGTTTATCATTTTTGTACTATATTATTTGAAAAAGCTCTCTTACTTGGTCAGTGTAGTCTCTGCCGGTTAATTCAACTCTGTTAAGTGTAGACCACACCTGTGTAGGTAGGAGTACATCATGTATCAAGTTTGGTGATCTAACTGTGATACAGGTGTTATTAAATTAATGTTGATTTTTTTTTCAACATTTTTTATGATGACTCTTCACAACATTGTATAGGCATTGTTGGGTAATAAAGCAAAGATAAATGCAAGAAATGAAGATGAGAACACCCCTCTGCATCTGGCTGCAAAAAATGGAAAAATAAGGTATACACACATCAATTTATCTGCTAATTGACAGTCAAAATTTGTTCAATTTGTAAGTTTTACTTGGAATATATTTCTTTGGAATAACTATATTTTGTTATGCTTGTTTTAAATACAATTGTACAACTATTGTTGTTATCGAGGTTGCTCTTTTGAAAGCATGGATTTTTTCACAGACACTGTGGCACACAATGTGAAACTTTTGTGGTTTAAGTAAATATATTTGTTATTGTAGAGAGTTTTTTGTGTTTTTTTGAGTGTGTAAAACCAAAACCAAAGGAACCACTATAGCCAATCAGAAGGGAAAAAAAAGCCTTTAAAAGCCAATCAAATTGAAAACAAGCAAACTTCCTAAGGCGCAGGAAAACGCGGGTGAACAAGTCATGATTGGTTTTAGTTTTACATGTGATTGGTTGACAGAGTGGCGCGAGCTTTCTGGACCAATCACAGGGTGAAGTGAGACAAAATCAATTCAGTGTTAGATCACTTTTGACACTCAATTAAAAATTGCTCTGAATTGAAATGATAACGATCTTCCCTCTCCTAGGACTGTTCTCGAGCTGATAAAGAGTGATCCTACCATTATAAATGATGAAGATGAAGCATCAAACACAGCCCTTCACTTGGCAGCCATAGAAGGTCACATAAAGTGCTGCAAGGCTCTGTTAGAAAAAGGAGCTGAAGTGGATGCTAGGTGTGTAGAAATACCATGAGTCCAGAGGTTACCAGTCGTTTGGTGCCCAAGGTTGCTTGCGCTGGGAGAAAAATTTCTTTATTTTTTGTCAAGCTCACCTCGACTAAAACTTGTTTTCGTACGCGCTAATTATGGGTGGAGAGAGTTGGAAGTGCTCAGTGAGACTCACAACTCCATAAGAGTTATTCCCTTGGTCTTCTTTCTGATAAACTTGCTTTAAACTAGAATTACAGAAATTTTGAAATATCCTTTGTTTGAAAAACTTTACAGATATTTTAACAGCTTAAGATTCAAGTAATTTGACCGGAATACTGAAAGTGAGGCTAAAACCTTTGATTTACATCCTTAAGCAAGGTGACTCTTTTCATTCTCTCCTTTCTTTCATACTCCCCCCCCCCCCCCACCCTCCCGACCCCCGCAACACTGCACCTTTTACTTACCGAACATAGTCTCATAAACAAGTGTTTTATCCTTCTCAAGGAACGCCACATTGTGGACACCCCTGGATTGTGCAGCAGCTAAAGGTCACTTAAAAGTAGCAAACATCCTGTTGGACTATGATTCACCTGTCGATCCTACTGATAAGACCAAGGTAAAGGATAATGTTAAAATATAGAAAAATTCTAAACAAGCATTATTCTTTTTGTAAAATTTGATAAAAATTTAGTTTCTTTATTCGTGATGTATTACAAAGGTGAAGTATTAGTGAGATATCAGGTACCGACCTTGTTGAAAGAAAAAGATATTCAAGGTCGCCCTCTGACCCCCGGGAGTGACTAGCATTTAAACTCTCCTAACAATATCATCCCATCAATCACATAGCGAGGTTACGAGAATCTAGGGAATGATTACCAACAAAAGAAGCTCTTAATTGTTGAACAATGGAGAACAGTATGGAGAATATTCATACTGATGAGCGTGAAGGGTTGATCTGTTAAAAATAATCATGTTTTTCGTAAGGGAAATAGAGTCCTTATAGTAATGAGTTTTGCACTTCCAACGCCGGGCCATAAATAAAAAGGCCACTTAAGAATCTCTCTATCGTTTTAGAAATTTACTCATTGCTCATGTACACTCTGCTATATGTGACTCGTGTTTCTTGTACAGACCACACCTTTACATTTGGCCGCAAAAGAGGGCCATGCTGAAATGGTGACGCTCCTGCTGTCTAAAGGTGCTGACATTACACTAACAGACCTGAGTGGAAGAAACTGCCTCGACTTAGCAGCAGATCACAGCCGCAAGTGAGAACCACTGCTTTTTTCACATAATAGAAATCGAATTACACGCGTTCACTTGCAGTCTCGTGTATTTTTTTTCCCTACGCATGTGGAACTACATGCTGTTCAAGCGCTTATAATTCTCACATATTGACGCGTAGATAAGAGCTACTTTACTCGCAAGCGGCACAGTGTTTGTGAAGTGACACACCCTGCTACGCTTGGTGTGACGTTCTTTTCTTCTTACCACACTTTGACGTCATACGTGATCTATTACTAAACAGAAGCATGGCAACATAGAATCAATTTTTTTTAAAGGAATTGTGAGTTGCGTAATCATCAGACAGAAAGCTGCAATGAAGCATTCTAATATAAATTCTGAAGAACTCCCGCAGCCGCTCAACCTAGCTTCGTGCTGATGATTTCGCGGCCAGCGTGGCCTTAGTTTGTCTATGGTAATTCATGGCTATTGATCTAATGCTTCTGTTGTTTTGTTAATACAAATTTACCTGTTTCCTTGTGTTCTACAGGGAAGCAGCCATGGCCATCGTCAACGATGAACAATGGATCGATGTTCTAAAGAACAAATCATGGGAACAGAGTCACGTCACCACTCCATTGAGAAAACTGATCATTAAACTTCCTTGTACGTCGACTCTTAATCTTATTCAAATCTTTAAGCAGGGTGTGAACAAGTTATAAAAGAACGTTTTCTTTATTTGCGTTCGATTCGGTTCAGGACTTTCAAACCTTTCTCGTGTTCTTCCCGCTCTGAGCTCCCGGAGCAGCTAATTGGTCGGTAAACCGATGGAATGTGCGACTTATTTGCAGTGCTTAAGAATTCTTGACATTTGTGATTTTGTGAATTCTAACCCTGTGGATAGTGGTTAATAAGGGGTTTTGTAGTTTCGTTGAAATATTTTGATTTGATGTTTGCAAGGAAGACAAGTGATGAAGGGTAGATAAATATCAACGATATTTATAAATGTAAACAAAAAAGGAGCGTAATACAATTAAAGAAATTCTTCTGAAATTTCCCTATCTACACTCAGCTGTGGCAGAAGCAGTCTTCAACCGTTGTGTCAAAGAAAGTAACCACCATGTCGAAGACAAGAAGTACGAGTTGACCTTTTACTATGAGTTTTTGGAAGATATCTACTTGGACTGGTCAGATGGGGGTGATGCAGCTTCGGAGACGTCCAGTGTAGCGAGCTTTTCAATGGAAGACGTCGCAGAGGATGAAGAGTTTAGGAAGATTCAAGGGTCAGCTGGTGTGGTTGAAGCTGTGACTCGGTTGGAGAAAAAGGATAGTCATCCTCTTATGATTATGGTAAATTTACGCCTTTCTGTGTTCTTTTAAATGAATTGTTTGTCTTCGTATATTAAAGTGTGATTATAAGGCTAACTGGACGCAAGACATGGTTGGTGTATAGTGAGTGTGCAGCGGAAAGGAAGGAGGTTCAATGAAAGGGGTGAGGAAGGGGTAGAAAGAGGGGACGGAGAGTTATCCGGGGGAAGAAAGAATAACCAACTAGAAAGCATATTTATTCTCTTCACGGCGTTGTTGATGATCCTTAGTTTGGCTCAAGATGAAGCTTTTCTGTTGTGTGCATGGACCAGAGAAGAAGCATTGGCGGGAGTTATAGGGATGAAGGAATAATGCAAAGAAGCAAACATTTTAGGGATAAGGAATGGAGGGAAGAAAGGAAAGATACACAAGTGGACTGGATGGATGGATAGAGGAAGAAAGGAAGGAAGGAAGGAAGGAAGGAAGGAAGGAAGGAAAAGAGCAAGAATTAGGGGGAGGCAGGGAGTCCGAGAGGGAGGGTAGGAGGGATGGAAAGAAAAGAGTAGAAAGAAGGGAGGGGGAGGAAGAAAGGAAGGGAAGGTTTTTTTAGTCCCTTTGATCAATCTGATGACGTTAAATTGTTAATTTTAGGTGAAGAATAAACGTGAACAGTTGCTTGGCCATCCTCTTGTCACGTTTCTGTTAGACTACAAATGGAAGACGTTTGGCAGGTACATTTATTACTTCAAGCTGGCCCTCTATTGCTTGTTCTTGATGTTTTTGACTGGTTACACTGTTTACTTGACTGAGCATGGCCCAGTTTGTGCCAATGGAACTGTAGTTGACAAAGGAACTGCGGACGAGAGCTCTGTTCTTTACATCTTGTGGATAAGGGTCGGGCGTATTGTGATACTGGCGCTAGCATCGATGCATATTCTTTCTGAGGTAGGATACTTGTTACTGATTGTTTAAAGCAGTATCAGTGTTTTAAAGTAAGTAAATCAAAATTGATAAATAGAATGGTAATTTAAGATTCTTTCCCCCCCCCCCCTCCCACGTGTGCCTCTAGTTGTAATTTTATAATCCTCCTTGCGTCAAGCCTGTGGTCTCAAATTGTCGAACTAAAGTTCGTTTCTGTAATGGTAAATGGCACACTCCGCGCATGAAACTTAAGAAAGCTGGGATTTTTGTTTTATTTAAGCCCCGTTTAAACGGTCATGATAGTTGATGATAGTTTCAACTATCACGCCCATTTGGACACGAACCATCATTCGCTATCTTCGACTATCATTGACTATTAACACTTATCATGTGTTTGGACGTGTTCAAACTCTACATGATAACTGATGATAATTTTTGCCGTTTAAACGAGCGGATGATAGGGAATGATAGTATTTCGGTCAGCAGTCTTGCCAAAAACGGGCTTAAACTGATATGGCAAATGGTAAAATTACTGAAGTAGCCGTGAAAATTTCGCAGAATGTCTCGTGATTCATTCTCATTATCCCCTGGTAGGCTTTAGTATCTTCAACTCGCAATTTCTTGACTAAAATTTCAAAATGCCACCGAAATTACTGACCTTAGCGCGCGCCTTTTTTGTTCATAATTACGCGATCTCATTGACTGATTTAGTCATTTTATTTTGAACGCAAACATGTTAGTCACTTTTAGTGAGTGATATTTGAAACTATCATCAAGAATCATGACCGTTTGAACGGGGCTTTAGTCTTAAAGAGTAACGACTTTTGAAGTAAAGTGAATCTACTTCAGTTTGTAGAAAAACGTAACTTGTGGGTTAAGGACCACTGATTATTTACTACCGGATGGGAGGGGATCTTGGCTGTGTCACGATGATATTTAGTTGACCCCTCCCCCCTCCCCCCCCCCCCCCTCCAGGGCTTTGTAGTGTTCTTATGATCCTCTTCATTGGAAGTGAATGGCAGTCAATTTTTTGTAGTCCTCCCTGTGAGGGCCAAAATTACTCGTACATGTCAAAAACACGCTCTTCAATATGCTTCAACAATATATTCTCACAAACGAAACAAACTGAAGTATTGATGGGAAATGAATAATCGAAGCGATTAAGGAAAACGATCCGGGACAGTGAAACGATAAAGCCGATTGACTAAAATTTACAGTATAAGACTTCTACAAGTGACACATACAAAGGAAAATTATGCAAAAAAAAGAAGTAACAGAACGTCGATGAAAGTAATGAACGTGAAAACAAAAGAACTTAATGAAAATGCGATAAAAAAGAAAAAATGCTAATTCTTACTGACTAACGTCAAATAATTTTGGTGGCAACACTCCCTTCATACTCTGTTGGCGAGGACTGTTCCCCCCTCACCCCCCTACCCCTGTAAACCAAGTGATCCCCCCTCAAATCCTTCGCACCCCTTCCTGGTGATGAATAATGACTGGTCTCTTAACGATCGAAAATAGGTTAGTCGTGTAAATCTGTTAGTTTTTTCCCTTTTTTATTTTTTCTTTTGCATTTCTTTTAATTCGATATTCGTGGCCCTTGCAGTTGTTCCAACTCGTGTATCAGCTTAGGCAGTATTTCTCTTGGGAGAACCTTTTGGAGTGGGGTGTCTATGTGCTAGCCATTGTCTACGTAGCTGATGAGTTCCAAGAGAGTTTAGACACCAGGTACGTGTCAGAGATAATCCTAGGTTGTGTGAAGTTTCAGAATCACATGTTGACATGGTCTGCACTTAAAAACTCTGTCGTACTTTGTTCGTGAACGCTTTTTGATTTAGTGTTGTAAAATTATAACTCAAGTGTTCTAACGTCTCGTGTTCAAAATCAAAAATTGGACACCACCCCTGTCACGTCAATTCTTGAGTGGAAGTGCTCAAACCTAACTAATCTCTTTGTTTCACATTGCAGCTGTTCGACGGCGAAAAAAACCATCGGAGCCTTATCAATCTTTCTTGCTTGGATGGCTTTGGTGTTATTCATCAGAAAGTTTCCAAAGCTTGGTATTTACGTGGTGATGTTTACAAGCATTCTCTACACATTCACGAAATTCTTCATGATCTATGTGTTGTTCCTAGTGGCCTTTGCGCTTTCGTTTTTTACGCTGTTCTATGATCCTAAGGTGAGCTAGATCTCTTCCAAATCCACACAGATACATTGGAGTTTGTTATTCAAAAGTGATAACTTTTAATTTTTCACAATAGTTGTTTAAATTTTCCCCGCTCATTGATGTGTAGTAGAATTTTTCAACAAACGATTTTCGGATTTTACGGTTCCGTCCGATTTCGGACGGTTAAACCTTCTTTCGGATGCTTCGTACTTTTTTGAACGGTTTCGGACAGTTTGCAATACAAGCTGCGCCGATGGTCCTGCAATAACCAGACTTGGTTATTGCAAAAACCTGGTTTCCAAACACGGAAATAAAACGTTTTTCTTCAAACAAACCAGAATGAATTTTTTTTCGTCCATCGATGGACCTCAGGTACTTCAAATCATGATACACGATTGTGAGGCGGGAAATGACGTCATTTTTAGGGTCGACATTCTCGTCAATGACGAGCCTGCGAGAATTAAGTCTCTGTAAAAAGAAGAAAGAAATCCTAGTGCTCTATACAGTCAACGAGGAAGCCCTTAGCCGCTTCCCACGGTCTGTTTACTATTTTGTTTTTGAAATAATGAGCAGTTGAGTGAAACAGTTGAGAAGGTCACACTTCATACATTAATGAAAGTTGTAATTTAAGCTTTTTCTTTCCCATTCGTTATTTCTTATTTCGTTCCTACTGAATTGAAGCAAGGCTCGAACATGTTGTGTTTCACTCTAGTTCCGTCAAAAGGTTATTAACAAACGTAAAGGAAAATGACCGGGTTTAATGTTCTATTGGTGCAATGAAGGAGTATGTACTGACCTATTGATTCTTAGGAATAAACAATTTCTTCAGAAAAATGCACTAAACGTCTTACCTGGAATTTTTGAGATTTCATCGCGCAAATCTGCGTTTAGGGGCTAAACCAAGAGGGATTATATCTGAAATAAAACCCATTTCTGAAGGAAGAGATCCTATCTCGCTCAAAAAAAGCCACCCCGTGACCTCTTCACACATCTTCCATAATCATTCAATACTCACACAAATTATCTCTCTCACAGCAAAGCGTCCGTGGGTTTGGGGAGCCTAGCCGTGCAATCGTGAAGACAGCAGTGATGATGATTGGAGAGTTTGACTTCGACGACTTATTCAACTCGCCAGACCAGGATGTTCCTGATGTCGCGTGGTTTATTTTTATTGTCTTCTTGATTATCATGACTCTCATCTTGATGAACTTATTGGTGAGTTTTCTTGTGTTCATTTGCCTGGTGTCGATTAATTTTAAATAGTGACTCTTAATTATACTCAGGGCTTGCTTTACATGCCCATTCTCCATCATAACAGGGCGTATCTTAGAAGTGTCAACTAAATTACATGTGAAACCTTTTTTATTTTCACCAAGAACAGTCTGTGTAACACGCGTGCGATTTCACCAGGCCTGCGCTTTATTCGCGCCCGGCATAGCCAGAGGAAGCTCTCACACGCGCGCGTGTTCCTCGCCTTCCTTTCCGCCTTCCTCTGCTTTAAAGTGGGAATTTTTAACTTGGAAATGGCCTTTTATCACGCCAAGTATGATGCTCTGTAGACTGAGTCATCCTTCTATAAAGCCTGAGTATTCGCATAACACGTCAAGTAAGATCTTCGTCAACGTTGAGTTATGTGGGTGGTGTTTTTCAACAAATTCGCAATTTTGTCTTGCTATATTTACAATTGTGAAATGAGCAAAAAACATAATTACAGATACCGTGTTGCCTTCAGTATACGATGGTTAACCTTGGTAAAGCTCAATTTTGCATCATCGATAGGACTAAACCAACTTAAATGAAATACTTGATAGGTTAGTTTGAAGTAATGAGTCTACTGACGCTTCAGGGTAGATGTTTTCAAAACCTGCGTTTGGCTGCGAGTATGATATGTTTTGTTGATTCTCTGTGTTATTCTCTCCCAAGATTGGTTTGGCTGTGGACGACATCAAAGGTGTCCAGGAGCAGGCTGTACTCGAGCGCCAAGCCATGTTGGTACGGATAAAGCCAGTAGCGTTTTAGAAACTCAAATTCATACACAGACCCCCCCGTATGCGCCCAGGTCCTTTCCTCTTCTCTCTTTCCCGAGAACGGCTTGGGACTGATATTAAGGAATGTTCCATCGAAATGACGTTACTCTCACTTACCTATAGTTTATCTGTTTGGTGGTTACCTGGACATAAATCCTTAAAAAACTGATGGACGGACTGATTGTCTGTCTGACTGATTAACTGGCTGATTGACTGATTGAAGGATGGACTGACTGATAGATGGACGAACTGACAGATTGATGGACGGACTGACTGATTGATGGATGGACTGACAGATTGATGGATGGACTGACAGATTGATGAACGGACTGACTAATTGAGGAATGGACCAACTGATTGATGGACGGACTGACTGATTGACTGACTGAATGACTGACTGACTGACTGATTGATGGACGGAGGGGCTGATTGACTGACAGACAGTCTCAGTCCGTCAATCAGTCCGTCCGTCCATCAATCAGCCTGATTTATTGATGGACGGACAGACGGATGGACTGACTGATTGTTTGACGGACTGACTGACTAAATGACTGTCGGCTGACTGACTGACTGATTGACTGACGGACTGACTGACCAATTGACTGACAGACTGACAGGATGTCTGACTGATTGTCCCACTGATTGACCGACTGACTCACTGACTTACTAATTGACCAACGGACTGTCTTATTAACTGTTGGACGAAATGACTGATTGATTGTTTGATTAATTGACAGCGTTTCACAGAAACGAGCGAAACGCAGTAAGATGGAAGTTTGACGTCCACCCCTAGCGCAGCCTTGAAAGAAATTTGTCGCTTTCATTCCTCGCAAATGTTTTACTTCGCTCTCAAATGTGGTACCCCATATAATAATGGCAGTTCGTTTGGCTTACGGACTATTTCTCTCTTTCTTGCTAAAGGTTGATTTAGCAATGGATGTAGAGAAAGCTTTACCCAGAAGACTTCGAAAACGGCTTATACCAGAAAGGGAAGTCGTTCGACCGAACCAATATGAAGGATTCAAAGGTTACTGGTACAGTCCCCCCATCTCTGCACAGGAAGTCCAAGTAGCGTTGAAGCCGAACAAGGTAAGTGCAAATAAATCCATCAGCAACAAGAAAGTATCAAGTTGAGATACTTAATTCTGCCTATAATACTTATTCCTACAGCTCAATTACTTTTGTGGTTTTACTTCTCATTATGGGAGATCCAGAAATAACCGATAATGTCCCGTGGGGCATAATTTTGCTGTCCACTGAAGCATTCAAGTCAAATTCAAGGTTCATGTGATATGATTCAGGGTGTGTCAAGATACCTTGAGTCTAGAAAGAACTTGAGTGGGATTACAGAGTGCACTTCGATAAGTGTCTTAAAACCAAAACCAAAGAGATTACAACAGCCAATCATAACAAACTATGAAGCGCGGGAAAACGCCATTGATCAAGTCGTGATTTGTTTTAGTTTTCAATCTGATTGGTTGAGAATTTCCGCGAGGGTCCTGGGCCAATCACAGAGCGGAGATAGCCAAACTAAAACAATCCCAGTTCTTGTGTTTTTTGAGAATCATTTGAAAATTTCTCTACGCATAATTCACTACCCATTTTTAATTCCCCCTCGATGAGGGGCAAAATTCATCCATTTTTGATCAGTATTTTATATGGTTATTCATCTTTCCACAAAAATGGCTGAGTGACCGGAATAGTTGGAGTATTCAGGCTTAATATTTAGACTGCTCTAGAGGTGGACGCTGATGTCACTGGTGTCGTGGCGGCTGTTGTAAAAATACCTCAAGCCTTCCCCTTATTCTCTCTCTTCATGTTTGAGGGTGAGAGTGAATTTTATCACAAGAGGACTGTTTTGATGAATGACTGATGTTTCGAAATCAAGAGCAGGCTCTCATGGTCACAGTCAGGCGGGAGTTTTTCTTAAAATGGAATTGAGAACTCAGAAAAAAGAAATAGTGTAGAACAGTGGCTCTCTGCAGGGAGACTTGTACTCACTTCTTTGGTATTTGACTCTCAACTTAAACCTCTGACTTTTGATTTTCCTTTTCTGCTATCTTGTTGTAGTCGTCCCTTGAAGTGTTGTCAGACCGAACGGATGAACTCCAAGAGACTGTGCTAGGAATGAAGAATCGCTTGAAAACAATGCAGTGTAACCAGGAGGAGATACATAAGATGCTGGTGGGAATTGTCAAGAAACTTGATGCCATCGTCGAAGGAGATGACGATGAAGACGATCAGTTGTTTTAGTCGCGTGAAGTTATGAAACCGCTGGTCGTTTAGAATGGCAAATAACTGGGTTCACGAGCAACGCGTTTACTGATCATTAGAGTAGTGAGACTATTGTAACTTGAAGAAGGATTCTTATGTCATACACACGAGGTTTTTTTGTTGACTGAGTGATTGAATAGTGAATCATGAATGTATTTATGCACGCATTAACGTTGTCTTCGTTACGCAACTTGTACTCAGTCTGAGTGGAGCGTTGTAAACCGAACGACAGTTTCAAAGGAGGCTAGTTGCACTCATACACGAAAAATGTGTTGAAAAAGTGTTGTTGAAATTTTAACAGTTCTACTGATATTTGTCTACATTAAGTGTCAGGAAATATTTATACCAGTACCAGAAATGTGGCTTTCTTTTGCACCACAAAAACAAAAATATATATGTGGCACTTAAACGACCGCTGTTTGGTTAGTTTAGTTAATTATATATAGGCTATTTTTAGAAAAATGAGATATTTAATAGATGTGTGTACCCAAATTATTCAGTAGCTTACTAAGAAATACAAGAATTATTGAAGTCAAGCAAAATATTTATGATACACGGGAGAATCGTTTGCGAACCTCCATTGTACACGCCCAGCACAAATCCATCTCACCTGAATAAAGAGCAGATGGAGAAGGCTAGCTCTGAGTTAAAACAAAATATATGTTAATTAATTCTTTTTTAGAATGAACCGGTTCATGTTCTTAATAGAATCCTTCGTTGAAAAGTTAAAAATAGTTAGGGATGGGAATTTTTTGAACCTCGGATTATCAGCACTTGTCTCAAAGAATAAACCATTTAAACGAATGTTTGGAATGTGGTTGTTTCTGCTAAGTTATTTGAAATGCTACTTTCTGGCTTGGTGCTTGGTTATGGCAGTGAAAAAAAAATTCTTTGCGATAAACTATTGGCTCTTTAGAACAGGCTACATCCGTCGACTAGGTAACACAGCAATTATAAGTTTCTTTGCTCAATTGCTCTTTTGTGCTAAGCAGCGTTATAAAAGTTTTTGCGAAGGCGCTTTGTTTTCTGGAATCAATATTTTTACAGCTATACTCTCCATACTTCAAGGGATGATGAATAAGATATTTTTTTCATAATTAATTTCAATAAAAAACATACTCAAGATGATTGCAACATTTAGCAAATAGGTTTATTCAGTTAAATTGTCGGAACCAACTGAACTAAAAATTTTCGTAGTAGTTAAAAATACTAAGATTTTATGACGCAGCCCTTTTTTCGTCCAGATCCTGATTGGGAATAGCCCTCCCACACCCACTGTCGGATTCTGTATTGTGATATCTTCGAACTAAGGACTTGACGGTAATAAACTTTCGGAAGAATGTTATTCCGCCTCCCTTCTCAAAACTGGATGCCGGCTTTTCATCGATTTCCTCACATGCCATGTCTAGGAGTACAATTCTTGGATTTAGAGGCTTGGGTCGAACAAATCGTCGCTCGTATGAACAGGGAAGAGTGAACACAATGTCTGTCTGAGACCTGGGAGCTAGATCAGCTGAAGTTATCTCCTCGGACTCGAAGTCAGGCTCATCATCCAAATACTCGCGTATAAATTTAAGTTTAGAGGCACAAGTAAGGCTACTGCGCTTTTCTCTTTCCAACACTAAATCCCCTTCTTCAAGTTTAGGAGTTGAACTGCGTGAGTTGTTATTAAAAGCACGCTCCTTATGTACACCTGTAGGCATTTCACTCAGCACTGGTTGAGCCCACTTACAATTACCACCTGAGTGAACGCGCCTGACATCCTGCGCTGCTGGGGTCTTGGATTTCTGAACCCTGGTTCGCGCGTTCGGTGCTAGCGCCATATTCCTGCAAAATCTTTCTTCCCGTTTGATTTTCTGCAAGCTCTCTCCAAACTCGTTACTGTCTTCGTCTTCGGTCTTCTCGTTGCTCCTGCTTTCTTGGAGTACTTGTTTTGCAGCTCTAATTGCTTCAAATCTGTCCACAGCTTTTTTTACTTCAAGAACTCGCTTGCATTTCTCACAAGAATTACCATTGCAGTTATGCCTCTGGTCCAGCGCTCTCCAATGGAGTGATTTCAATGGCCGACCATCTACCCCCTGAGTTACCTCAGCGCTGACTTCATCATTTACTTCTCCCAGTTGTTCTTTCTCCAGAAATTCTCCATCCTTCACCCCCTTTACATAAATTGCTTTGTTATCAGGCTTGTATAAATCGTGAGAGAGCGATCGGGAGAGTCGGTGTTTTGATATTTCGGAGCACCTTCTCTGCATATTGGCAAAATGAAGTGATTTCAGTTGTGATCCGTTTTCCGGCTCCTCTTTCACTTTGAAAACTTCGGGCAATCCAGGATCAAGAACTAGATCTATAGCTTCCTGTTGTGCTCGAATGAAACTTCTCGATCGGCGCGCTTTGCCTTTGTTGGCTCCGATAATTCTTCGTAATATTGAGTTTTCTTCACGATCCTGTGTTATTAGACCCGGAAAGGCACTTTCCCCCTCAGAGCATTGATCAGCCTCTTCGAGCATCTTTGAAAAAGTGTGTGTGTTTAAGCTACCACGATACGTTTACGACGTCAGCGAACAATTGAAGTTGATAAATATACAATCAATTTATTGTCATAATACATTATTGTGCGCGCGCTCCTCTAATGTTATCCGGTCGATTCGAACCCACTCTTGAGTCGTTTCGTACCCAAATCACTTGTGGATTTTTGCCAAAACCGCTGATTGATTCTTACCTGATTCTTACCCCTCCTAATAAACATTTATTCGAAATACCTCGCGCGTACCTTACACTGGCTGCATGATTTGGTTTTATCGCCTGGTTGATGATGTAAATTGGACACACAAAGTAGTCGCACTTCAAAAATGAACACTAGGAAACAAAAATTATTTAATGCATGTAATATTTCAATTCACAATAAAAGAAACCGACCATAAATTTAAACATACTTATCAAGAAAAACATACTTTATTAGTTTGAGTACGAAACGACTTAACAGGATACGAAATGACTCAACAGTCTGCATACGAAACGACCGGTAACCCCTCTATTTATTCTTCATTCTTTACTCACTTACCTTTTTTTAGATGATTGTTTATATGCTTTTAAATATCCCGAATGGTATCCAATGAAGTTCTAAGTTTCTAGATTTGCCTGCCGCGGTAAAACCTGGTATGAGCTGCAGAAAAAGTAACCTTTACTGTAAATGCACTTTCCCTTCACGAATGGCATCAAGATACGGAAGTAAACTAGACGCTTAATAGCTTTGTTCTTTTTTCGTCCACCTTACTTTTCTTTCTTTCCTTTTCCTTTTCTCCCATCTTATAAGGCTGCGTGAAATGCCTGAGTTGCGTGACGTTGTAATTTGCCGCTTTCGTGTCGCACTCCGTGTTAGACTGGGTCGAGTATGTACGCTGGCTTGTTCCTCGTAGTGTTCGACACGTAGGCAGAGCACATACAAACAAGCATCCGTCAGTGTTGGAAAGGAGATGAGCGTTCGTCCGTAATATTATACCTGTCTTGTTCGTAAAATTTTGTCCTTTGTTACAGTATGGAAGCAAGATATAATTTAAGAAGTCCAGGTAACGATTTCTTTTGAGCAGCTCAGTTAAATCACAGTTAAATTTTGAAAACGTTCCTCCAAACATTTACAGATTTCGATTATTTCATTCTTCATCATGTACAAGTTTGTCATGAATTCGGTTTGATGTTCTTGTTATGATTTTCTAACTCCAATTTTTAGGAGTGAAACGCTTGATGAGAGAAGCAAAGGAGTTGAGTCAACCAACAGAGCTGTATTTTGCGCAACCACTGGAGGTAAACAATGAATTTGGGTCCGTGAAATTCATTGGAAACACGGAAGGAATATGAGTATAACTATGTTAAAATGCAGCACGTAGTAGTGCAAATGCAAGCATATTTACATGACGTGCTGGGTCTTGAACCAGTCTCTAGCAAAGTATGGTACGCTCATTGAGCGAGAATTTAATCGGAGGCTGACAGTCGCTGCTTGTGGTTGTTTTAGTAATCATGGCAGAACCTGTTTGTTGATGGTGAAGAGTCAGCAGTTGAACTCGTTAACTCCCAAGATCTGATTGTTAATTCTCCCCTTTTGCTGCTGCAAATTTCCTTGTAGATAAGCTAAAAGAATTCTACTTTAGGTGAAGATGACTACTAACCCTTCCTGAAAAGTTTGAGAGTATTCTCATTACCTGTTTACTAAACATTGTATGGATAGTATAGGGAGAAGGTACATTTTGATAATTTCTGGAAGGTCAAGGGGTTTAAATGCTATTACTGTATGATGCTGTGACAGAAAAGCAACTCAGATACTATAGTATCTGAGAAATTTGATAATAAATAGTAGTACTAGTATGATAGTCATATGATGGAGTCATAACAAGAGGTTGTATCACTGCAGGATAATTTGTTTGAATGGCACTTCACAGTACGTGGCCCTCCTGACAGTGACTTTGCTGGGGGACGATATCATGGCAGAATAACTCTGCCACCAGAGTATCCAATGAAACCACCAAGTATTATGTTATTGACTGTAAGTACAACTCGCATTGAGTAAAAGGATCAGCAGGTTAATTAAATGAAAATAGTACCATATTATAGTGTATATAAAAGAAGTTTTGTGTGACCAAACTCAGAACCAAAGTTATCTTAGAAGAAATTAGATAAAATTAAATATCACAAGGAGCTAATTAGAACTGTTATGTTACATGTAGTTTTTCATCTGGCTGGGCAGCAGATAAGTTTAAGTTTCTTGGACCAGTCAGAAATCACTATATAGCAAAACTAGAGAATCCTTGAACTGCCTATGACACTTGACTGAAAATGGCATCTCTTCATATCTTCCTCTTCCCCCCCCCCCTCCCCCCTTATTAAAATCATCTACTACATTGTTGCAATTAATGCAACACAGGTTTATAGAATTTTATAAAATGTGATGTTGGCATTTGTTCTATCCTGGAGATTGAAAATTGAAACTCTGGTCACTTCAAGAGGGCTGTTTTTAGAAACCTCTGTTTTGATTAGCTTTTAACCATCATGGCTGGGAAACAAAAAGTTGATGTAATGTTCTTTCTTTGCCTACCAGCCAAATGGTCGATTTGAAGTGGGAAAGAAAATTTGCCTCAGTATGTCAGCCCATCATCCTGAAACTTGGCAACCATCATGGAGCAGTGAGTACCATTGTTAATCTTGAACATACACTGTGAATGTATTTATTGTTTAAAACTTTTCAACTGTAACACTAGTATTAAAAGCTTGTCAGCACACTACAGGAGAAAACTTAAGTGAAGTCAGCCCAGTAGCCTAGTTCCCCATCTGGTAGTAGCTTAATATCTCAGTTTCTGATGCCTAAAGTGACAAGATTTAGTTTCACTTTCTACATATAGATGCTACATGTAAAATGTAGTATCATTAACCCTCTGACCCCTAAGAATGACCAGCATCTAATTTTTCCTTACACTTATCATCCTTGAATCATGTGTTAAGGTCATGAAGATAAATGAAATGATCACCATTTAAGGGAGCTCTTGATTGTAAAACAAATTCTTCTTGTCAGCACCTTGTGAAATGTATAGAGAACAGTATGGAGAATATGCATACTGATATTAGGCTGTAAAAGGTTTATACATGACATTTTGATTTTCCAATAGTTCGCACAGTGCTCATGGCAATCATTGGATTTATGCCAACACAAGGAGCTGGAGCGATAGGATCACTAGACTATACTCCACAAGAAAGGAAGGTTCTGGCCAAAAAGTGAGTGAAATTCATGGTATTTTCTATTATGATTAAGAAGAGTGTTGTGCAGTGAAACCTCTATTTGGCAGACTCCTTCCCTTGTGTCTGCTTAGTGTAGGGTTCATTCTGAATACAGATTTGTTATAAGGAATATATTGATGATATTAAAAAACAGCAAATTTGGTATTCTTACGGAGTGACTTCTCCTTTGGAAAATTTCTCCAAATAAGATGAAAATTTGAATTCCTCTATTGTGAAAACATCTTGGTAACAGAATGTGCTCATTGTCACAACTGTGTAACATTTTTTTGAGGAAGGAGGTTACCGTAATTTCCGGTCGTTTACCCGCGGGTAATCTGTTGATTTTGCATTAAACGCGCGCCACTGCGGGTAATAGGGAGGTGCGGGTTATGTGACAATTTTAAAATCTAGTGGTAGTTGAATTGAAAAAAATTATCACCAACATGCGTTTCCACCTCTCAAGTGAATTTTATTGTATTAATAGTGCCGCAAAGCGGCACGAAAACATGATGCCGACTCGAGTTTATTTCACGCACGAACAAATTGCGACGAACAAATCATGCTATCGGCACGCGTGAAAACAAAACCTTGATGGTGACAAAAATTATCCAAAGATATCCGGCGCATCAGTAACAAATTTCCATTTAACACTAGCTTGAGCTAAAGAGAATTTTCCCGTTTTAAGGGACTTGTTAGGCCCAATAGAACCGGAGATATCGATTTTTTCAGATATCGCCGACAGTACTTTATAATTCAAGTTTTAATACTCACCCAGCTTTTTTTCAACAAATCAACATGGCGCTGAACGATCGCTCGCACAAAATGTGGCCACAAATTTGCATTCTGTCAAGTATGAAACGTTGAGATTTGGGCATGGGCCGCTAGTGTTTTTACTGTATAATCTTATCAATAACGTACATGCTAATATTGACACAGAATTGTGCACGCGTCTGAATTTCTTTGACCTTTAAACTCGACAAAGACGCTTTCAAGTTTTCGAAAGTTGGATCAGACAACTTTTAAAAGACTGAAATGTATCACCTTAATGTCACGTTTTCGCCACCAAAAAGTTGAATAACATAACGTGCGGGTTATCCACCAGTGCGGGTAATCTGTTGATTTTTTTTTTCGCCGTATGCAATAATCGGCCAGTGCGGGTAATCAGCCGTGCGGGTAAACGACCGGAAATTACGGTAAGTTAAATGGTTTCTGGAGTGTATATATGCATGTACTTCTCTTCTGCTAGTAATTGACAAGAAGTTTCTTCCATTTTGTGATTTTGTAAGGGAGTAATTTAAGCCAACCAAAATAATACCTCATTATCACTCTTCCAAAAACTTGATTGAACAAGTATGAGTGCTACTGACTACTAGCATAAAAGAGATTTACCATTCATGTCAATAGAGAAAGTAAAGATTGACCTTTTGGAACTCTTTTTGAATGATTGTTGTAACAATTTTAATTGTATCATTTAGATCACTTGATTGGAAATGTAATACTTGTGAAGGATGTATGAAAACTGCTCTCTTAGAGACCTCTGGTATGTGTGCTTTCTTTTTACTACTGGATATTGTTTGTTTTCTATTCAAACCACTGTAGTCCTACCCATACTGTACATGTATGTTGTTTTGGATAATTTATACTTACCATAACTAGGTCAGCTGATTATTTTCCCAAATGTATTAAGAAACAAGTTCTTGATCTGGTTGTGAAATAAATGACCACAACATTCTGTAAAATCAGAGAATGGAAATTATTTACTCTACTAACCTGTTTTTTGAACATCAAGCCAAAGGATCATTGACAATTTAGCACAGAAAATAAGATGCTGTTCAAGTTACAAGTTAACAAATAATATGATGGCTTTGGTGTTAAGTTTGCTCTTGACAGGCAAGTTGTATTTGAATTATGCATTTTAGGTGATTCATCATCTAAGGAAGCAGAAAGGGAAGCTGTAGAATTAGCTGCACAAATCACATTTAAGGTGAGGCAGTATAGAAAAAGAGTAGGATAGTCTGGATACAATTAGAATAACTTGTATAACTGCATGAGCATATCCTGGTTTTCTTAGTTATGAGCAACTGCAGTCTTTTAGTATTCTTCTGGATGGAATGCCTTTTTTGGTAGCTGGTTATCCCTGGTCATTACTTCTGGTTTCCCAGACAAACTGCTAGAGCCCATTTATACCCTCACACTCACAGGGGTGACCAAGAATGAGGTACACTCTACCCTTGACTATTATTAAAATACATTTTTGAGCAAACAGGTGAGGAGAGGGAGGAACAATAACCATCAAGGGATGTTCTGGTAGTTTGATTTCACATCAAATTCTCAAAGCTAAAATCTTAAAAAATGTATGGTTGGCAGTGCAGAGAATAGATATACTTGGCTCTTAGGAGTGAAAATGATTTTTCTCGGTGGAGGGGAGCAGATTTTCTTGACTGTTTCACAGTACCCATATTAATTCATGGATGTGAAAGTACAAGAGTGAGGTTTCTTTTCTAAGACAGGAACAAAACAATGAATGACCTTTCAATCCAGAGTCTTGCTGGCTGACCATATTAAGGCCAGCATGTCTTCAGACATTAATCTGAAACATTGCTGTGGGGGTACTGTATGACTAACTAATTTTCCTCCCAGGTGGAGAAGTCATACTCTTTGTTATATCTCTCAGTTAGTATGTGTGCTATGATTGTATTTCACTGTACGGCCCAATGAATTCAAAAGTTTGTTTGAATTGAAAATTTTTACACTTTTTTGGAATCCAGAGATATGATAACATCTTATGAACTTCATTTCCTCAGTCTGCACTGTTAGTTATTGAACCTTGTTTTTCCACTCGGTCATAAATCAGAGCAGAAAAATTCAGTTTGTAACTTACAGAACAGACCAAGAAAACTAGGTTAGTAAATGGTATGTACATCAGGAGAAGTCCTCTGGCTGGCCCCAAGATTTCATCAAAATGTGATTTGTCTCATCCTTTCCTTACATTACAATATCATGATAACTTTCTCTTTTCTTTTCAAAGGGAGAGAGTGAAAAAGAGAAAACCTCTCAAGGAAGCACAGCAACACCAACTTCTAATGTAACAAGCCAACCACAGGCTGCCTCTACGACAGAATCTGTTCCTACAGGAAATTCTCAAATGGGGGCCTATTCAATGGGTGTAGCTTCACAGTACTATGCAGCATACCAGCAGGGGGGATACCCTTACTATGCCACAGGTTACCCGATGTACAACATGTTGAATTCCAATCCTTTACCAGCCCAAGGATACCAACCTTCAACTATTTTACCCAATCAGAATGGTGCTCATGTCACACCAACCAATCAGAATGCAGAAGATAGAGGGACAGCTAGTAGCATGCGTCAAAGGACTGTGGTTAATCAGAGTGCTGCATCGCAAAATACGATGCAGCCAGTATCCCAGACTAATTCTGTGGTTCAAAGACAACCCCGCATTACACAAAGCAGCATGGCCTCTTTAATTGTTCTTTGGGTCTTGGCTGTGTCAATAGCTGCACTGGTTTGTAGAAGAATTTTTATGATATCACAATGAATGATTTCGTTTACGTTTACAAGAACACTGTAAGTATTGAATGTAAATGGACCACATGTGATAAAACTGGGGGTACTTTTTCCCCCAAAAAAATTTAGGATGCTCTTTCAGCTCAAGGGACTAAGGGGGGATGTTTTATTAAAATCCAGGGGGTAAGTTTCTAAAGAAACTGTGGTGCTGCGTTAAGAATGAATTTTTCAGAAGAAAAAATAACACGTGTTCTCGAGTCACTTAGTTTACAAAGATACATGTCAATAAAGGAAATCTTAAAAAAAAAAACGTTTAATTTTAGTTATTTTCAAAGACTTTGGAATCTACTGTAGGTTGATGCTTCTATCCAATAAGAACACTTTTGGTAGGCGACAACATATTTCAGTGCAAATATAAAATTAAGTGTGCTGCTGAATTTTTATGCTCTTCTATGGTAGATATTTCTGCGTATGTAAATAGAGCTGAACTTTGTCAGTGTTGATCTCTGTCTCGCGCGAATGGTTGCCTCAATCCTCTACACCCTAAGATCAGTATGCATATTCTCTACACTGTTCTCTATACATTTCCTAAGGTGCTGAAAAGGAGAATTGTTTAACTATCAAGGGCTTTTTTAGTTGGTGATCATTTTCGCTATTCTCGTGACGTTAATGTTTGTTTCAAGGGTTATTTGTAAGGAGAAATTAGAAGCTCAGCAGTCACTCTTTGGGGTCAAAGGATCAATCGATCCACGTTGTTGAGAATGCTTGAGCTCAACATGGCTGGATGGTGGAGTTTTTCTTCCTTGTGTTTCCTGTATCAAGATCAAGTCCACCGAGATGACACGAAAGTACCCATCCATATTGACCAAATAATATTGGACAAAGAATGCTAGTGATTTTGCATAGACACATGTAGAGAAAAAGCGAGCTTATAAGATTCTCACAGGCTGAACGCCGAGAAACTTAAAAGAACGAAGTCCACCGCAAGTTCACGCATCTGTCTGGTTAGGAAAAGGGTCACATTTTTGTGCTATTTGTCAGTTAGGATAATCCAAGCTGTTACTTTTGATTAACACTAATTGAAGAAGAGATAAGATTGCCTGATTTCTTCCCTCTCTGTAACTCTCAACTCGACTATGAAAGATAACTTTACAATACCAAATACGACAGTCGGCCATAACAATCTGACCCGAAGTAATTTTTTCTTTTTCTCTTTGTTTCCTCTGGGAGTACAAGAGGTGTATGCCTATCTCCCATACTCGTGTAGCCAATGAGAACACAGGACTTGCTTCATGATCACTGACTCCCCTTTGCTAACCCCTTCGCTAACTGTGTGCTAAGACAGGTTTTTTATTTTGCGAAGTTCACTGTACATGAGTTGTCGTTAATCCTTGTTCTCTAAATATCTGTTTTCCAAAATAGTTATCAACCGCTTACTTTACAGAAGAACAAATTAGTTTTTCGAAGACTGATCAGTCGTGCTACATTAGATAATTTTAATATACTAAGCGGATACAAACCTAAAGGATCACTAAGTAGATTGACTGAAAGAAAGATAGTCAGCTACTGAAATTGTGTAACCTCACACAATCGTAAAATGTAAAACTTTCAACTAAATTATTGTTCTGTAAAAACTCTGTCACGTTGAGGTAACTAAAGTTACATCGTCTTCAGTCGTCGTAAAACGACAATAAGCGAACTATTTGCAGTGATAAACGGCAGTGATCCTTTCAAAGACAGGATCAGCAAAGAATTATCTCACTATTGTTTCCTCTTTTTAAGAGCACTGAGAGTTATCCCTTTTGACCGCTTCCTATTGCTTTAATACCTCCACAAGAATAAAATATCGAAGGCTAAAACTGCTTCTCTGTATTTGTTCAATACAGTTTTTTTTTTAAATTCAAGGTGAAATTTAGTGTGCCGTGGGAAAATTTTCATCCCAAGTCATTAGTTGGCATGTATTGGCACAGAATGCGATTAAAATCTGGAGGTTGTCACTGGCTTAAGGAAAATCAATGTAAACAGTGCTCGTGTATCAAGAAGGGGCACGAAACGAGATCAACAACATGGAGCAAAGCCGTGTTAGAAAGAACAAAAGAGAACAGAGGCGCGTGAAAGTGCTGCGAAACGCTTTTACGGTTTTGAAGGAACTTCTTCCCAACAACAGCGACTTGAGGACAAAAATAGAAATTTTGACGAACGCGGCAGAGTACATAGTGTTTTTAAAACAGACGGTGAGAAACTTACAGACTCAGTTGAAAGAAGAACCAACGGAGCATCCACGTTCGAGCTGTAGATATGCCCAGGTAATTTTAATTAACGTGTAGAGGTTTCGAAGTAATAAAAACGGTTGCAGCAGTTGGGTTAGTTTCCATACGACATTCGACCATGTAAGAACGATAAGGAAACTTTCCTCTTCGAACCACACCCATTTGTGCGCGCTGTAAAAGTTTTGCCGCACAACCTGGCCGGATCATTTCTCGAACATATGAAACATGCAATTCTCTCGGGGAAGCCCTTAACTTATGACCGAGTTTTAATTTGCTCTTATGCTTCTGTTCCTCTTAGAAAGGTTTATGATGAGATTCTTTAAAGCAAAGTGTAAGAAGCCTCGCTAAAGGGTCAGCAAAATTTCATAGGCATGTGTTTAGAAAGCTAAACTTGTTCTCGAAACTCCCCGCGGGAGCGCCATAATACTCCTACGTAACTAATGAATTTTGTTTGGGTCGGCAGAGATATGACGTTTGAATCGCTGTCTCGCAGCGTCGTGTAGCATCGGAGATCCTGTCGAACTGAACAGCCTGCCAAACTTAATTAAAAAGTTAAATTCAGACGCTGTGCTTCTGCCGTGCCTTTGTTGAATTGAATTCATGTATTAAGTTCGACACGGCAGGAACACGACGTCTAAACTGGCCCTAAGACCCTCATAGGCAAGACGCCGGAAAACTCAAAAGGACAAAGTCCACCGCAAGTTCGCGCATCTATCTAGTTAGGAAAGGACCACCTTCACTGAGCTATGTGTTAACCAGGATAATTCAATCTGCTACTTTTAATTAGCATTGAACGAGGAAGAGATAAGAGCCTGATTGCTTCTTTTTTAACTCTGTCAATTCGGCTGAGAAAAGACTACTTTCCCTTGTCAAATGCACCCGGCAATTATGATAAAAATGTTAATTACAGCAACAAGCTTAGTGAAGGAATTGACTTGTGCGTCCACATACGTGACAAAAATTTCACATAGCAGTTTTTAACTGTTCAGAATCCCTTGACGGGACACTTGACGATCTTTATTTACACGACCTGAAAGCAAAGGTGCTCGAAATGCCGCGTGAAGTGTTCACACTAAGTTAACAAAGTTGGAATCAAAGCATGTCACTAAGTAAGCCAGTGTTCTTTACACGAACAGAACTTGAATTATCCTAATGTGAACAGTTTTCACATTAGGATAATTCTTCGGAATGCAAAACTCATTTTTAACCAGTAAAGACTTACGCAAGTTTGCGTTGTATATTAGCAACAGTCATAGCATTCCAATTTGAATTATTTTATATCTAAACTTATTAGTATTGGGTGTTAACTTTACAAAGCATCTCATTGACGGGAACAACGGTACTCTATCTTACATGGGTTGTTTCTGTGAGCACTGCACCCCGGTAATTACAAAAAAACCTTTCGTGGGAACTAATACAAGTATATATCTAAAGATACGGGAAAGAAAATTGAAATTGTCTGGGAGTAAGGCAGACCGTTGTAGTTCGAACTCTGCCAATGACCACTGATCTCTGTAATGGTTCATTTCTTGAATTATGAACCAATTCTCCCTTCTAGCGGACACACATTTGTGCATAAATCTGTGTGAAGAACATAGTTCTGTATAACATCCTCCCTAACTTCTTCTAGGAGAAAAGTAGTGAGGGAGGTAGTTGTTGATCCCATCTTAGAGTTAAAGGTCAAAACTGTTACTAACAATTTCACAATCGTTGGTGTTTTATTTCTTCTCCCAGGGGGTCTGATTATAGTGATTACCTACAAACAAGATTGCGGATTAAGACTGATAACTTACCAGCTGTCATGCTGTCATCAGGGATAGATCATAACGAACTCTAGAGGCTTTGTTTACAAATGATTGATAAAATATTTGCCAGTTTAATTTGCTCCATTATCTTAAGCCTTCTTTTTGGGGTAGCACCATACCAGAGGTATTAACTACTTGACAGAGAGATTCTTGGTGGTCATGTGGGGTGTGTTAAGGGAAAGATTACGGATGACGTCGAAGAGTGGCACACGAGGTGCAGCCGAGTTTGATGTTCTTGTCACATTTTAACGACTTCTGTGGTATTTTATTGAAGAAACGCAAGGAAAAATGTGGAATATTTTTGTTTACACGATAAATAAGTGCTTCCTTTTTACTACTGGATATTGTTTGTTTGTTCTTCAGTGATTTTTGCTTTTCAAACCACTGTAATCCTACATGTGTGTCCGGTATTGGATATACTTACCTTAACTAGATCAGCTGATTATTTTCCCAAGTGTATTATAAACCAGTTCTTGATCTGGTTGAGAAACAAATGACCATATTTCGACGGCTTCTATGGCCTTTTTTTGAAGAGACGCAAGGAAAAATATGGAATATCTTTGTTTACATGATAAAGAAGCAAATGTTAACGTTCTTAATCTCGTCGCCACCAATTCGTCTGTCCTTCCAATAGGAGGGTTTCAATGGGGTTAACCAATAGCCGTAAAACGGCCAAACGTTTAACCGTCAGTCGTAAAAAAGTTAACTGTATTAAAATTCCTGGTGACAGCAATGGAATGATATGAATGGCCAAAATTTTAACCGCAAGCCGTAAAAGTCATCGCCCCATTGAGGCCTTCCAATAGATCACACGTAAGAACCAATCAAATTGCTTTTTTTTTCATCAACTTTATTGGGTTTATAACATAGTACTAACTACAAAAGACATAGAGACAAAAATAAATTAAGATAGGAACAAAAATAATTCTAACCCAAAAGGGCAGGTGCGAACGGGACTGGCGTCCCGTGCGAGGCACCGCCCACCGCGTTTATAATGCGGCTTATTTTAAAAATGTTATTGGTCGATGCAAACGAAAGAGACGTTTATTGGGTCCATACGCACTCATGGCCATAACGCATAGAAAAAACACTTATTTGTTTTGAGAAATTACGTGTAGTATGATGTCTTTACCGTCTGAAAGGCGTTAGTTCACCTTTCATTTCATTAGTCTTAAATGTAAAGCGTCGTATAGTTCTAAATAGGAACGTTAATGATTTTCTATCGGAGTTCTCGATCTCG